GGATTTCAAAGGGTTTGCTCTTCCTTGCGAAAAGGAGGAAACAATTCTTATTACTTCCAGAAGACATCATGAATCCACAGACAAAAGTCTTTTCTCTGCCTCCGGTCTCTTAAGGAGGGGTATCATTAAACTATCAGATTGATGTCAGAATGTGTTCCCTGGCAGGCAGGGACACGTTCTGTGTGGTGTGGGGAAGAACTCACTATATTTTAGTGTGCTCAGAAACCCGCCTTGAACAGGGAGCCCAGCTCGAGCTCTCCAGCCCCAGGCACATCACTAGTGATGATAATAATTTTAAGTGCCATCTTTGGTATCAGGGTTTTATGTCTGTAATAAATAACAAGCAATTCAAACATTAGGAAAAATTTATCATTAGGAAAGGATTTTTTTCCTCCCGTCTCCTGGAGTCTTACCAGCCTGTGAGGATAAATCGTGAGAATCTGGAGGTAACATTTGTTCCAAAGAGACGAGGATCAGTCCGTTCCCTTGGCTCCCTTAATAGCTTAAAAGGGTGGGGGAAAGAAAATGAGCGTGTAGCTTAGTAGGAAATCAAAACTGGTTTGTGAATGTGTGTCTGCTCTGGCTTATTCATGACTATGATACACATGTAAAATATGCTGGTGGTGCTACACAGTCAAAAATGCAGCTTGCCAACACTGTTAAATTACTATTTATTTCCTTTTAAATCCACTGGGTGTGACATTTATGTCCAAATACATCTGTCATTTGGTTGGAGTTCTTGTTAGCCCTACTACAGCTCTGAAAGGTTATTTAAGTTTTTGCATGTGGGAATGACCAGCTGGTGAAGATTTTAGAATTTAAAAGGGTACTTTTATATTTTGACCTGACTTGACTTCACTTTAAAAACAAGTCTTTTTTGTTTTAAAACAAGTCTTTTCCAGAATAAATGAAACCATATATAATTTTACCCCTTCAAAACCTCATGGTCTTCCTTTAGGTAGAAATACAGTATTTTAACCACTGAGTTTGTCAAAGGTAAGTGCTGTCGTGAATGGGTGACGTGATAGGCTCCTCTGACAATTTATGCATGATGTAAACAGGTGATGCAGAAGATGTCAAGGAGGCCATGTTTAGATTATATGTGCTTATACTGTTTTGAAAAAGAGATCATATAGTTTAATTGGGCCTATACAAACTGGTGAATTGGTCTACAGCTGAACTACACAAACATAGCAATTTACTGAAATGTTGTGGCAGCTGGATATGCTTCCAGCTGGGCATAGAGACTGAGTGCTTCCCACTTAGAGCTGGGCCGGAGGGAAAACCACTTTTCCCATGGAACAGCTTCTAAAGAGCCCTTTTAAGCAAAGGAAACGATGTGATGCCACGGGATGCTCTCACAGAAAGTTTTGAATTGAGAGGAGTAAGTGACTTTCTCACTCCTGAAGTAATTATCCTCTCTGCTGACATACCAGGAGCTGGCAGGAGTAGCTGTGTCATTGGAAATGTTTATACCCAGGTCCTTGAGAAAATGTTGGTATCTCCTCCCACACCAGGGGAAATTATGTGAGTTAGTAACACACTCCTTTGGAAGGTCTTTTTTATTCAGACTAAAGAATTGCTGGACAATCTTCCTATAGCTCCTAGTGAAGTAGGAGGAAATAAGCAAGCTGTAGTGCCAAGGGCTATCTTACTCTGAAGTCTCTGAAGCTTGAGTGAAGGCTCAGCCTGCTGATGTTTCATAAGAGGAGCTTGGGCTTCATCTGTCAAACAGGCAGAAACAAGGGTACACTGTGAAGTGACAGGTCATGTACCCATGATCTACGAGCCAATGAACAGGCCATGGAATTTAGGCAAAACCTCTGGAGATTAATTAAATCCTGCCAGATACTGATTAACTGAAAAATACAGATGTGCCTTTGGGCACACAAGCCCTTCAGATGTGAAACAGAGTCAAAAAATTAAATGCTGAGTATAGGTTAGCTCTTTATGTGACATTGGCCATGCTGAAGCTGAGGAAGATCCTCCCTGTCTAAAAGAATGTGTATTTTTCCCAGCTGTTAGCAGGTCTTGCAGAGTGACTCTATTTCTGTTTCTCCACACATTTTGCCTTATAGCCTCAGGGCATCATGAAAAAAGATGCTATATATAAAAGAACTGTAGTCAAGTAAACAACTCAGGCTGCACGTTCAAAACATGTTTTTCGGTGTGTAGATGTATCTTCCATACCCTGTATGATGACTACATTCAATTACATGAACTGAAGGAAAACTGCTTTTCTGGCTAGCCAAATGCCATAAAAATACATGTGGAACCTATATGGGCCTCCCAATGGATGCTGAAAGCACTCACCAACTGTGCATGGAATGATTAACAATGCTCAAATAAAACAAGAGGAAAGGGAGGGGAAAAAAAACAGGCTGGAAAACCTTCCTTAGCTGGGAATGTTTTGACGAGATAATGCAAAGTGTCTGCATGAGTATGAGAAGCAAGTTTAGATCACACTTTCCTGGCTCCTGGTGGTTTTTACCAAGGTTAGTGTTTCAAATCATTAGGAAGATGTTGATTTTATTTTCTTTCTAATTTCTTTTCTCTAGAGAGTAGTTATGGCAGAAAAGGGAGAAGGGGGGAAGGAATTCCTGGATCGTGGAGAGCCTTTCTAAGCATTAGACAGTGGGCTCTCCCACTGATGCCAGTGAGACACAACTGGAGACACTAAGAACAAATTGGAAGAATAAAAGCCTCAGAGCACTAACAGAGCAATTATTTCCTCCACCACACTGCAACCTCACCTCTTGGTGACAGTGTATTTTCACTCCTCACTGGCTGTGGTTAAGGAGGTGGAAAGGGCATTAAAAGAACAACAACATTGTTCCAAGAACATGAAATCTTCGAGTCATCCTTGGATTCCACTTTGTGTTTCCTCCTCCACCAGCTATGTCTGCCCAATTGCTTATCAGTCTCTCCAGAGTATCAGACCTTTACAGTGATCCCATCTCTTACTCATGCTTTACTCATTTCCCAACATGGCTATTACTGATTTCTGATTTAGCCTTCCCAAATTCCTACTTCGAATTTGAGGCGATTTAGAGGGTAGATATGGATAGAAGTTAACATTAATGCACAGCAAGCACGTGCAAAGGTATAAATTACTCTGTGTATTCGAGGAAGAACCTGTTCTGTTTCAACATCCATTACGCAGTTTAGGTAAAAGGATGAAGTCCCAACGTGGAAATACTTTTGCACAGTAGAAGGTACAACTACAGCTTCAGTCACGGCACCTCCACACAGTATGAAGGTGTACAGAGCTGCTGTGATTGCAAACTCCTGTCCCCCAGCCAGGAATTCCTGCTGCTGTTTCCTTGGTCACCTGGGACAGCCCTTATCTCTTTCATCAACTTATGTCAAACCCTGCAACCATGCAACTGCCATTTCAGGCTACTTTAGCACCTAAATAATTTGGTAGTAAGCATTTCACTTCTCTGTTCAGTCTGGGACTCACAGCAAAGGCTCGGTGCAAGGAGGACTATTTTCCCCAACACATCTTCTGACTGAGCTCTTTTGGAACTTATTTATTGTCGCGGGTCAAGGCGGGACACGACATGAACCCTTGTGGATCCAGAGGCTGGAACTCTTTATTGCACGCTGCTTGCTATTTTTATACACTTTTAGGCTACACATGTTAACTCTTTATTGGTCCCCAAATGACAAATATCCTTCCATTGGTCGTTAATAACATTATATAACTCTGCTGACTGCGCATGTCAGTCAACCATGACTCAGCACATTTTACTGGAAAACCATATTGTTACATCTTCTGGGTTCGGGCTGATTTCTGCCTTGTGCAAAGGTTCCTACTTGACTGTAACTCTTCCAGGATCCCCCAAGCCAGCTGGGGGAAAACCACCACAATTTATTTCTCTTTCAAAATGACACAGTTCAAGACTAGAGTTCAAAGATGATTTGTGCTAAAGCTTTATCAAGTAGGTGTGACCAAAGTTATACCTTCCCTTTCCTTATCATAGCATTTACACCCTGGTCAAATATCCAGGTAGTCTTGGTTTCTGATCTCTCTTTTGAATGAGAAAAAGAAAGCAAAATGGGTTTAAGGTTCTAACTGGGAAAACAGTATTTTCTTCATATCTTACTGAAAGAGGTGAGGTATCAATTTCTTCAAAGAAATTCTTTCGAAAGTTTTGGAAAACAAAGAACTAATCCTGAGGCAAACACGTGTCTAAAACAGTGATTTCAAAACATCTGCAGTTTTGAATGACAAATGGGAAGATGCCTGTTTGTCTAAACTTCTTACATGATAAACTGTGAACAGGAAGGTTTTTGCAACACAATGCCTCCATGTCAATAGTTTTCAGTTTCGCAGAATTAAAAATTTCCTTTTGTTGTTTCACTGATATTCACACCTGAACACAAGAGATTATTGAGAATTCATGTGATAATTAAAAGAGTGTTGGATGAGTTGGAAATCTGTGAATATAATAACAATGTCATTAATTAAGTAGTAATAACTAGAATATAGCTGCTTAATATAAAAAGTTACCAGATGATTCTTTGCGTATTTTGAACGTATATATACCTGACAGACAAAACACAAGACTCCTTAGGGATTTCCCTTCCCCCTGTTTAGTACCTTTGAAATCCAAAATTGTGCTCCTTTGATACCATGTTTGGAGCAGTATCTACAGGTAGAGTTACAGGAATATATTTTGCCTCTCCCCAGATCTCCTGCAGAGTTCAAAGCTTATATATGTACACAGAATGGTCACTGTCCTACAGCTCTGTATTCCTCTGAACCTGCCCAGTTTACAGACAGGGGTACTTATTTGGCCTAAATTGGAGACATCTATGTTTCCTGACTCCAGAGTAGAAAAGTTTTGGATGAGTAATTCTGATGGTGACTTAGATATGCAGATACATGTGAGACAATTCAAAGGTCATAACTAATAATTGCCTTTTTTCCTAATTGCAGCGTGATCTGAATTGATGAAAAGGAGTTTTTCAAACAAGAATGACAACAGTTGATATACTTTCAGTGTGTTTTACTGTCAGTTTTGTTCACTCTGATCATAACCCTTTTCAGAACAACAAGAAATTCTGCTGACAGACAACTCTCCCAAACACAGTCAATATGAAGTCATAGTTGTCTGATGTGCTCATACCCATTAGGCTTTGTTAAACAAGTCACTCGATCACTGAAAGAGCGCAAAATTAACAAATAAATGCTAATGGCAGGTACTACTGATTTAACCTCTATTTGTAGTGAGTGTAATTGTTTTCTTCAACCTTTAGAATATTGAGACATGCAAATTCCTTATCTGCAGCTAACTGTTCATTTTGCTGATTTAGGAATCTTTCATTACACACAATAGCAGCAGCAGAGCCTTTAGAGTCCTTTTCTCACCATCTTGAAAAAAGTTGTGATCTACTGAGACCCAAACCTCTAAAAATGAACAAATGTGATATTTTACACAGAGTAGCCCAGGTGTCTCAAGTCCCACATCCGTGCCTTCTCAGCAGCTAATCAGACATCACTAGTTTTGGTCCCTGCTTTTACTCATATCTTATCTTAACAAAAAAAATATTGACAGATTATTTGAGGAATTACAAGTTTAAAAATAAATAGCTGAATGTAACTTAGGTTGGAGGTTGTATTTTTAGAATGAGAGCAGGGCTATCACTCACAAAGCAAGAGGAACTGTTCAGACAGAAAGAATGAAAAATACTTTGATAAACACACACTAAAGTCACAATGTTCTTTATTCTTCCAAGGGTGGCCTTATTGCTATGGTTAGAAGAGACACCCTTTCAAGAGTTACATCAATGCTGACTCAACATTAACAAGCACATGTCATCTGGGTTGTGATCACTAATACTGCACATGATGGTGTGTTTGCAGGGGTTGTCCACCAGAAGACGTGGGGTCCATCATGTGGGAGAAGACTTGGTGACACTTTCCCATCTTTTCCTGCCAGGAACTCTCCCACACTGTGCTGTTTGGTAGCAGGGGACACTCTCCAGGTGCTACTGCATGAAAAGGATGCTGAAGGCCATCACGACACAGCACACAGCCACGTAGGGGCTCTTCCGCTCACCTGGGAGGGGGAAAAGCCCAAAAGAAAGATTCAAGAGTGACTAAACAGATCCAGGCTGCTCCTAGTCTAACGTGCTAACTGTGATACAGCACGTGCAAGTTCACATTCAACATTTCTGGCTGGAGAAATGCTAGTAGAGGTACAGTTGTGTGCCCAGGAAGAATACGCATGGAAAACCTAAATGTATGATATTGCTACAAAAAGACAGAGTTGCAGCTCTTTGCTTTAAGACAGTGACTTTAAACATGTAGGGCATGTAGGGACAGAACAAGGAGGAAAGGCTTTAATCTCAAAGAGAGGAAGTTTAGATTGGATATCATGAAGAAAATGTTCCCTATGAGAGCGGTGAGGCCCTGGTACAGGTTGGCCAGAGAAGCTGTGGCTGCTCCATCTCTGGAAGTGTCCAGGGCCAGGCTGGAGCAAACTGGTCTATGGAAGATGGACAGATGCTTGTCTCTTTTACTTGTTAAAGGGACATAACATTGCAAGCACATGGAGAGGGTCTGGCCCACACATTTCCATGATAAAAATGGTCAACAGATCACAGAAGTTGCAGACACCTCTATTTCTGACTGTTTCAAATTGATGTCACAGCTTTTCCAGGGCACACCATGAATGAAAAGTTAAGTTTACTCCATTAGCCCACTTACATTTGGTGGCAAAAGCAATCATGAGAGATCTATTCCCCTCCATTTGGATCAGGACAAAATGTTACAGAGGTGTCTTATTTACAAAGTAAACTATGAAAAGAAAAAAGGAATAATCTTATGTGGGGAACTGTAACACAGTCAGGGGGTTAACAGTAATGTTAACTAGACTGGTACCTATTCACATGAACACTTCCTCCACTTAATTAGCCAGGTGTTTTTACACTTCTACTTAAACTTTATTCTTCATGGGTCCACTGACTTCTCTCTGCAGAGACCAACTCCGGATGGCACTTCCAGCCCTCAGAACTGTCAGGAAGTGTTAACACTGCAATCTGTCTTTCAAGTGAGAAGATTCCTGTTTTTACACATCCAGAAGCACAAAGACAGAGCTAGGGCCGTTTGTTTTTAACAAAATTCAATTTCCCTGTGCTGTGCCAGGTCTTTTGTCTTACTCTATAAACCATATTATTTTGAGACACAATTTTCAGAGAACCATTAAAGAAAAAAAATACCAAGGCTTCCAAATTTAGCATCAAGGTGCATTTCTCATTAAAAAAAGAGTCATTTTTACCAGCAGGACCTTCAAATACATGGGCAACAAACTTTCCATAGAAAGAAAATAAAAAATAAAATAGTTGCAGTGACAGCTCCCATAAGCAGGAGTGCCTGCCACAGTGACATTACAAGATGTTGCCATGATCTGGCACATATTTAATTAAACTTCAAATAACTGAAAGAATTAATGTCTGCAGTTTCACATCTGTTTAAAATAAATTTTGAGGAAGTACAACTCCTACGGTTCAGGGTATTACAATATTCATATGGGTTATACTTTTCTGCTCCTAATTTTCTTAAAAGAGAAATCACCATGTGGCAGGATTAAACATAATTTTGCACAACTCTGTAAATATGTAACCACTTGCTTGTGATTAAGATCTTATGCACATGTGAAAAGGTTGTTTAAACATACTAGGGATGTTAAATGCAAAGGAAGCCAGGAGACATTTTCATTTTTAGAAACCTACACTTTGTACATGCCTTCGTGATTAACACAAACAAAGTGACAGGAATCCTCCCCAAAGCCCATTTTCACCTCTCAGTCTAAAAAAGAAAGTCAAATTGGTCCACTCTAGATGCAAGCTGTAATAGAAACATAGCTAACAGAAAAGAGTATGCCTTCACATAATTGACTACAAAGAAGATGACAAGGGAAGATGAGGTAAGGTATTCTCTTCAACCTTGAAAAAACCCTAAAGCAGCTCTATTTTTACATTTGTTTTCGCTGGTACAGCTCAAAATAATTTCTGACATCTGACATCTTCCCAGTATCTTTCAATTACAGCACTAAAATTGATTCTGCTATGTCTATTATCTAAATAGGACAATATCTGCAATCACTTTAACAACAGGTCTCAACAAAAACCATTTCTTTGTGTCAATGCTTTTTTACAAATTGAAAAATGTATGTCATGCCCCTCTCAAAGCTTGGGAATGCAGAAAGGGGAATCATACAGGTTTTCTTTAGTTTCAATGACAAGTAAGAAGATCTACAGTTACAAGCTCATAGTTTCTGCTGTACATCAACAATGCAACTTGAACAACACTGTTTTGATGATGGGTTTGTAATTTTTAAAAATCTTGGATATACCTTAAAAGTTGAGACTAAACTTCTCTTGTATATTCCAATTTCCCTCTCAAAATAAATTCAGGATAAGGATTAAAATAAATATAAACCCAATGTTATGGGAAAATGTCAGGAATCAGATAGAGCTGATCAGCCTGTCTGCAGATGTCACTTGACATGAACAGCTTTCTGTAATTCAAAAGAGCACAGAAGCTGACTAAAGAAAGGAGAGAAAAAAAATACACTCATGCTTAAACAGAACCTCAATGCATTATTTTTTATTACTATAAGATAAATATCTGGCTTTTTTTCAGTAGTCCATTAGCATTTTATATAGACTGCAGTTTATAAGGAATCATTAATTTCTTTGTATGTTAATAAGAATTACCCCGTGATTACTTCACGTAGTAAGAAGTGTGAAAGACTTCTGAAAATATAACATCACACACATGAATTGACATCAGAATATGCAGGCCTTCCATGATGCTGATCTAAGACAGCGATATCCTGCCCCCTTATTTCATGAGAGTAAAACCTGCATTTTTTAAGACAAAGCGTATATACGGATTTCATTGCTACAGAAAAACATTACCTAACAAATAATGCCAGAAAAAGCACTGATCTTAAAGATTTTAAAATTACAAAAAAAAAAAAAAAAAAAAGAATTACCAATCCTGGCGCACTTCCAGAATATCCCCAACAGTCTGTAAAGACAAAACAAATTCATTAGGCTCTTGGTTTTAAAAAATAATATTTAATATTTAATAAAATAATCTAAGTCCAGATTTTCTTTCTTCTATGCTAAAGCAATCTGAATCAACAGTAGTCTGTCAACTTGACCCTCTTCTGGACATGAGAAACCAGCAGATACCTGCACAGAGAGGCACAGGCTATGAACCACACGAGAGGCAAAGTTCCAAGTCTAGCAAGGTGGGTTTTTTTGCATGCAAGAAAAACCAAGATGCATTTAACTCCGTCTGTATTCCAGATTAATTTCATCAGAATTGTGCAGTCTACATTAAAGTACCACACACAGAAAATTATGTTAACAAAAAAACCCAGAACTATACAAATATTGGGAGTAGGAAACACCAACAGACCTCTACACCATTGTATGTGGGGAACTTTCTATGTCAAAGGTTTTGAAGAGAGTTTTCCTACAGGTATGAGAGACGATAAACGTCAGCACTTTAATGCTTTGTAGTCTCTCTTTTGCACTTCTCTTAGAAACAGTGGATAAAAATTCCTTCTCTAGCAGGCATTTTCTTCTCACAGGTGTAATCTGATATAGAATGCTTCTGCTCATAACAAAACAATTCTTATGGTTTGTTCTTACTCCTTTACTTACAATTTCTTTGTCTAACTAAAATAATCTCACACTGACTGCTCAAGAGAAGCAAGGCCAAGGACTGCTTTAAGGATCTGAGGAGAAGGGGAAGCATATGAAGCATCCTGAATAAGAAGGTAGCTTTCAGCCTTGATGAAATGTTGGTCAAAAATATTCAAAACTTTTCTGCAGGAAGATTTTCTTCATAGTAAGTCTGCTCGCAACGCAGTAAAAATGCCTGGATTCAACTATATTGTTTATTTATAGATTAATGGAGCAAAAAAAGAAGAAACCTAATTACTTTTCCTCCTTCTCCTAATACGCTTATCAGCCATAACTTCAGCCTGTGTTATTTGTGGGGTTGTAACTATACCTGCAGTTCCCCAAGTGCTTTCCCACAGTGCTCTGAACTCACACTGACACTGGTTTGATTATCTATCCTTCCCCTTTCTTGGGCTCTGGCAATTGCCTGTTTTTAACATGGTTAAGAGCAGACAGGAAGGAATGAGTCCCTTGCTCCTGCATCTTCAGTAGACAACACGTTCTGCACCTTTTAAAAAATAATGTCTCTGCTACTTCATATTTTATGGTCTCTTTTATGGTCTCAGTTTATTTCAACATCTCTTTTTCTTTCCATTTAGCAACCTCACCTTTACTTCTGAAATAAAGGCTCGGTGTCAGGCAGGTGAGAACCAAGATGAGGCAGCAAGTGACTAAGGTTTTCAAAGTCAAAGTGAAATGCTTTTCGACCAACATACCTCTTACTGACCAAATCATCGTGAACAGCATTTCAGCATTTCCATTTCTAGAACAGGCTTTTTCATTTGGGCTTTAGATTGCTTTACCTCAAGCCAAATATATATGTATATATTTATACTTATTTGGCTTTTACTGTATTTCTGTAAAGCCAAAGCCCTTTTTTTTTTGCTGCTTTTATGTAGTTCCACAAGCAGAAATAATAATGACTGCATGTGGAGCACCACGCTTTTCCAGGCTAAGAGGTCATACAATAAAGTAACCTCAAGACATCTAGGCACTTCTTGAGGATGCACGCAGGTAGAAAGGCATTCATGTGTAAATCTTATGGAGCAAAACACACAGTCCCACATTACTGCATGGGTAACACTTCAGGTTCTCAAAAACTTTGTCACTCTCTGTAAAATTGGAATTTACAGACTGTGTGCTGCAAAACCAACACAAAAACTTCCACAGCCCTGCTTCTCATGCTGCCATCTCTCAAAAGCTTGCCCATGAAGGAATAAACATTACTGTTCCTTTCATGTGTGTTTGAAGAATCTTGCCTAGGAAAAAGAACATTAACTCTTTCAGGAAGTCTATAAATACACTGAATTTGCCTTACAATCTCAGCAAGGGTATTTTCTCAGGGTTTTTTTGACTGTGTTTGACAGTGTGAAGTTCTTACTGAAGTATTGTACATTGTTTCTAGCCCTTAGTGAAAATACAAATATCTGATGTGGTAGGTACACAACAGAATATGGGTTTCATCAGGTCCCCTTACTGCAGTTAACAATTTATGAACTTAAAAGTCACTGAAAGGGGGACTGACAAACCTTCCCACAGATGACAGCAGCACCTTTTTAAGGAGCTTGTGTGCCACTGGAACAGCTCAGTGTCCGTCTGTCCACATACCCTGCTACCGAGCAGAGGCAGACTGAAATCAGGACCTTCTAACCACCTACAGTAGTATCCTCTGGATGAACTGGGGAGCTCACACTGGAGGAAAAGTCTGTGCAGACCTTCTGCTCCCCTGGATTTTTCCTTTAGTGTTCATCTCAGGTTCACAACATGCAGCTCTTCAAGTTTGCTTGAAGAAAGCAAAAGCAAACCTGTTTGCTTCTTACAGAAATGATGCTGCCTTGAATGAATCTCCTCCAAAATAATTCCTCCTGAAGCAACTACTCCAGGTAATTGCACTGTTCCCTACTCTCCCTTTCATGTTCCTCTCCATCCTTATTTGGAGGCAGGTGAAGTGTGTCAGTCTGGCCTCCATATCTGTTGTTTTTTGGCAGCCACAAGCCAAATGTTCACAAGCTGCTGCCTATTCCTGGCTTTCAGTGTTAGATGTTAAAAGCCCTGATCATGAAAGTGGCATTGGTTGTCTGGAGAGCAGAAAACCCAAATAAATGAAACCCATTAAGTTGAGGAGCAGTTAGCGGGGCCTTAGACTTCAACTGCTGAACTGTGTATGTTGGGAAAATGCAGCTGCCATGTGTTTACCAGGACAACCCCAGTGCCACTGCAGGAGGGAGTGTGAGAGATACCCCACTGCAATGGCTGTGGAAAATCAAAGGGAATCTCTGCTGCACATAAGCTAACACATCTTTCTGGTTAGCAGAGAGGAGGGAATGATGTTGTGGTACACGTTCTCCCCTAGTTAGCATGAAGCAGTAAATCTCCACTTGCTTTCTCAGGCTTAAACAGAACAAAGCACATGGAAACACTCAAGGCGCATAAGGGAGAACGAAGTTTTAAAATTCAACTTGGCTTGGTAGGAACAGACAGACTTTGGCAGAAGTGAAGGAGATGAAATACAGTGTTAAGAGGATGGGTGACATCACTTCGCAATACTGTCTCTCAACCAACAGAAGAATGTTTCTTCCCTTAGCATCAACTCATTTAAATCCTCACCAAAGTTACCACTCACTTGGAAATAAAGTGAATAACTATCAACATTCCTCCTCTCTGTCACTTTAATATTTTATTGCTACTTTTTTTTAATACCATTAATTTGGATCAGGAACAATGAGGTAAGCTCATCTCTGTGGTAAAATGAAATATCACCAGAGTTTGTTTTATCCCATATGTCTAGACGTTTCCATCTGAGCATGGAGTATGTCAGAGGAGAGGGACAGGGGTTTAACAGCATATGAGCTCCATGTAAACATCCACCACACAGGAAACAAATTTCATTGCTTCCAGGCCAAGGTTTTATTCTCCAGTACAAAGCAGTCTACATATGCATGTATGTATGAAACAAAACGGTATGTCCAACATCTATATAAATACAAACCTACAGATCAAACGCCCAGCTCCTCCACTGTGTCAGCACCCTTTGAAAACGTTTTATTAAGAGAGTTCTATTGTGCTCCAGACAGATTTGCCTCAAGAATAAACAGAGTAGCTCCAGATTAAAGGAAATACTCCCTGCCAAGAACAGCACTAAAATTTTTAATCAGTAAAATAAACATTCTTACTTCTTACTGTGTATACCTCATTGACTATTGTGTTATCTTCCACTAGCAGACACCCAAACTCCCCTTGCCCTCCCACTCCCTGTCCTTCATGAAGTCATCCTTTCTTTCCATCTTTACTTCTATCCAAAGAAATCTCCCATGTCAGTGGCAATTTCTTATAAAAGGACACAAGTGTTTTTGTGTTAGAACTCCCAAACTTAAAAAATCTGGCATACTCTCGTTATCTTATGATGCTAAAAGAAAAAAACCTGGGTGATAAAACATAACTCCAGAGGTTAACTACAACAAAGGTTTTCAGAAGACAAACACTGAAGGTTCTTGGTGACAAGAGTCTAATTAAAACTTGAGAATTCTTCTGAAAATTAAATGCAGAAGTGACAGGAGATACTAAGGGAAAAGGAAAATTTTATTCAGCAGGAAATGATCTAAAGGAAAAAGTGGACAAGTCAAACACCCAGCTCCCAAAAGCCTGTTTGTTTTCCCACCTAGAACATTTCCAGCTAGAATTACCTTCTAATTCTACAAATACTATCTCCTTTCTACCAACCTCAAGTGATACTATTACTGAAATATCGTGGACAGTCTCAGTGGTTTCTATGTCGTAATAGCCCAAAAGTTACTTTAAAACCACTACAATTAAATGACAGTTCTGCTAATGAAAGTTAAGAGTGTCCAAAGGACACAAAAAACATAGGTTAGGCTTGTAGAAACTTTTAAATACTCTTATAGAAATTCTTTCATCTTAGACAGTATAAACCCATGATTTAAACAGACCACACATAAGGACAGTGTTGCTTATTTTAACGAATATTCTTAGGGGTTTTTTTTAGTTACAGATTATTGCTAAAGCTGCATTTCAAACTTGTATCTCCAAAACACCTACCTTGAAAACAAACAAAAAGCCAGCCTTTGCTGTTTTTTTACCCACCCCAAGGATCAAAAATAAATCATTGCAACAATAGCCATGTGTAGGAGAATGTTTCCTTTCTGCCTTTCATTTCTGTATCTTTAAGAAACATCTAACAAGAAAGCTATAAATCCAGAAAATTAATAATGCAGTATTATTTAAGTTAGTGAGCTAATAAATTATTTCAATACAATTAAAACTAAGGCCTTGCAGATACATTATTGCACTCTATTGTAATGTACAAAATGAAGATTTTTATCTTCAAAGAGAGAATTTTTCCAAAATACTATTTGTATTATCACAGACACCATCAGTGGGTACTAAAAAGTTGAAGTTAAAACCACACATCTTGTGCACTTGTAAAATTATCAGACTACATACCCAGTTTTATTTTTGTCCAGTAAGCTGGGAGCCAAAGATCTGATATAGGCACAGGTACATATGAGCAGCAAGATTACAGTCAGAAGACTCTGGAAGTTGAAGATAGCAGACTGTGGAGGAAAATCAGAAGATAAAAATTACTCCTTTACAGTACAAAACTTGCCTCATTGGAAAAAAATAGGTGAACCCTTAGGTAATACCCATTAAAACCAAAAATGAAACCAACCATGACAATGAGCCAGAAAATCTTTGCATCAGTAAAATATGGCAGTGGTACAGAAGATGAAGAGTAATTGGCTGTAAACCAGTGGTAGCCAAGACAGAGAACAACAAGAAATAGGTAGGAGGATTGTTAATACACCCTTTATGAAGACTATATGACAAATTCAAAAAGTTTATAGACATACACAGTCAAGCCCATCTGAACTACAATAAATGATTAATTTTATTTTCAAATTAAATTTTGATTTTTGATTTAAAACATCTTTACTGTAAATACATTTTTAGAAGTGCTAATTACATGGAAAATGCTGGACAAATGGAGCAATTGCCTTTGGATTGAGAAAGAAAGTCCTATTGTTTGATAGTAAACACTGATTGGCCTAGTGGCAGTAAGAAGTAATAATTCATGAGAAACTGATGCAATATTTGGCAATTTAGTAAATTTTAAATTATCAGTAATAGCAGAAACTGTGTATCAAAAACTTTTTAAATTTTTTTTACAGTTTTGGGGTTTCTTTTAACTTTTAACTATCTCAACTGGAATTTAGTCTGCTTGACAGCACCAGGTAAGGCAATTGCTTACTTCAAAAAGCTTTATTTTATCTTCACTCTGTTTCCCCCATTTGTGAATCCAATTTAGTGTAAAGTTAAAAAAAAAAAAGGTCAAAGCAAATACAATAAATTTGCTCTTCATTCTGGAGTTCTGATGAATTTATGCCTCATATTTTTGCACTGCTCAACCCAGATGGTTGAGTAGTGGTATTTAATTAAGGGTAAATATTTAGCACTTAGGAAGGGCTATTACATTGCAGTTTCCCTCTCCAAGCATATTTTAGAGCACATCAGAGCCTTCACTTCCACAGCCTGAGGCACATCTCTGTTGATGCACGTGTGCTTTCTCCCTGTGTCAAAAAATTCCAATGTTTAGAGGCTCTGATAATCAAATTTCTCTTCACAGTTAAGGAGCATTATACAGGAAAATCACAATGTTTCAGTTTAGTATGGCACTAACAGTAAAATGAAGAGAGAAAAATAAGAAGCTGTAGTAGAAACAAAGCAACTGGACCATCCACAACACTTCTGATATAAAAAAACCTTGTAACAAAAAAAAAAAAAGGTAAAAAACTTTGGCTTATTTAAAAGTCCATGAAGCAACAACAGAAAATGAATACAATTGCCAGCCTGAATAAGTGCTTTAGAAAGGGTTAGATATCCAGAATAATTTAAATACCCAACATAATGGGGTCCAACAGGCCACTGTGTTAAAAGGAGCATCACAGAGAACCTTAAGGAACAACTCTGCCTCTGCACCCTGTGTCAAAGATTTCAGCATCCCTGAAATTCAGCATTTCTGGGATGATGGAGAAGGGACATTACGCCAGTGACCCACACCCAGTGTAAGCCCTTGGTCCCGAAATATGAGGCTTCTTGCTCTTCTTCTGAGCCACGGTATTTACTTGAGTCATGTTTAATTTAGTATTTTAGCCTAACTAGGTATCAATTCTGTCCTGCCACGTCATAAATAATGGAGAGTATATTCACAAAGCACAAAACCCTGCCCATCACCACCAGACTCCTCTGCCTCTGTAGGTGACAGAAGGTTTTGCCAGCTCCAGAACCCAGGGAATTCTGGATTCCCTGCAGAAAGACCTGCTCTGTCCCACAAGAGCTGGGTCCTGTGGCTCCTGAGGGTCTGGGAACGCGGCTGCCCCTCAGCACAGCCAGATATTCCCTATCAACTGATTAACTGGATCAGTCCCCTGGGACAAGCAGCTGCTCTGCACATCTCACAGAGCCCCGCTCCCAGGAATTCCTGCAGCTGCTTCCCAGGGCTACACCAGGCACCATAACACAGGGAAATGGCACCAGGGCACACGTGCTTCCCCTTCAGCAGCGATTGTAAATGAATACTCATGAAATGTGTGCTTAGTCCATCAGCAGGGGCAGGGTATAATTGCTCTTTGTTGGAGTCCTCACGTGTTCCTACAGACATGCAATTACAGACCTCCTTCCACTGGACCCTGCCCTGAATGACACCTTTATCTGCACATCTGGAGCATTCTAAAACTGGCCTACAGTTTTAAACTGGAAATGAAAATTTAGTCCTGAATTAAGATTGGCTTTGCTTTTCACATCCCAAATAATTCTTACAGCCCAGCTGAATTCACAAAAAAGAGAATTACATTTGGCTGCTTCAACTGGTGGAATTAACAGCTGCTGTGAGTTGTAAATCCTTTTAAAAATGCTGCATTCACATACGGAGCTACTTGGACAATGTAATGTAGGTGGGTCACAGTTGATTTATTTCAACTGGGTTCCTCTGATCCAAAAGTACTTAATTAGGATCTTTCAAATGTGTTGACTGGCTTAAGGCAGGTCCTGTGAGCTTCATTCCCACTACAAAGAAATCTCAGCACGTGGAGAAATTGATGCTGTCTTTTAGACTGTGTCCGCATGTGGGTGAAACTACAACTAACTTGCCAAGACACACATTCAAACACAGAAAACAATCAGCACTGGTGTTTTATTCTGGTTTTAGGCAGTGCAAGCTTTAATTTTACAGGTTGAAATTTCCTGCATCTGCACTTGGTACAGTTCTGACACAGTGGAAACACCTGAAATTACCTAAGTAATCACAGTCCCCTGATGTCCCTTACCTGCAGTACTAATGAGGTTTTGTAACCACAAGAACATCCAAGCATGAGCTTTTACCAGTCTTTAGAAATTTAAGAACATGGACTTCAGCTTTGAGAGCTACCTGCCCAAAATCCTTCCCAGAATTAGACCTTAAAAAGGCCTTAATATTATTTCCTAATCATGATGTATGTTAGTAAAAACTCCACATAATAAACCATAAAGAATGATTACTCCTGAAAGGTTTTTTGTGTTTAGATTAGCAGTGGTGGCATATATTACATTAAATACTAATGGGAATGTACACTAGTTGGAAATCAAATGGCACAGCTAGGGACATCTGAATGTATTTCCACCTGAATATAAATGAAGTTTAATATATTTTAATAAGTGTCAAGTCAAAGTTAAAAATTACCTATGCAGCTGAGAAAGGGAATCATGATTGGTCACAATATTTGCACAGGCCTCGATAACCTCATTATTGACAAGGCTGCACCTCCTGCAATTTAGTCAGCATTAAATTTACTGCTCTTGTAGAGACAGAAAAAAAGGAAGCCACTCAGAGTTCTGGATATCAACGGCTCTTGCACTTAATAAGAATATTTAATTCAATTCACTGAGAGGACACTAAGATCGTTGACTGATTTTTCAGTGATGACTGGTGAACGTGTATTCAGCCTCAGCAGAAACAGCCATAATGGATGCACTAATTCTAAACATGCTTCTGCACTGAAAATGACAGCCCATGGACAAGACACTGTAACTATTCTACCTCTGCACTTCTCATTCACTCCATCACTCCAGCATTCTCTGCTGCAGAGACATGGTTTTGTTCCATGTCCTTGCAGACAACACCAGAGTTACCAATTGATGCATTTACTGATGTAACCCTCGGGTAGCACTGTAATAAATTAGTAAGTTTTGATGCAACTCTGTGTCACAACAGCCCTGCTGACTTTCCCCTCGCCTGCTCTACTTTTGTTTAAAACAAACTCCTTGACACCATGCTTCCAGGGGAAATAAAACATCCAGGAGAACAAAAACCCCATGCTGTTTGTCCTACTGGGCTAGTAGGAAGCCTAAAATAAAAGCTCTCCTAGTTTATCTCAACAGGCTTAACACCCAAACTGAAGCTTAACCTCCCCTAGACTTTAAGTATTTACAAAATTATTATTCTGTCTCTGATTGCAGCGTGACCATGATTTCATATATTTGTGCTACAAAAGAAGAAGCCACTGTAGGGCCAGTAAGTTGCTAAACTTTGTCCTGTGGTTACTATTACAATAATCAATTTATGTGGGCAAGCACAGATATATTACTGGAATATTCTATAGAAATTAAAACCTCATTTGCACAACATGCTGCAGAACATTCAGTCTTTCTAGAACAGTTTTATTTTCTGTTTTCCTCCTCAATATTATAAAATTAATGGATGATAAAGTGTTCTGGGACCAAAGAAACTGATAGGCAGCTAAATGACTGGGTTTCTCATATTAAAGTGTGAGCAAGAGCTTACACACTACAGTTAAACTGTTAAGCAAGAGCTGATAAAAATCCCATCGCACAAAAGTGAAATCAATCTATGAAATTCTAATGAAAAGGTCCTCACAAAGCTGAAAGAGAAAATGCTTATTATCTAGGGTTTCCATTAGGCACTTCAGTTTTTATTTCTCCAGTTGAAATCAAATTTTTAGGGGAATAATTCTGAAAAAAACTAACAGGAAATAAAACATGTGGGACTACTCACAACCTGGAAGTCAAAATAATTGCTAAAAAGATATTAAAACATGCACCTAATTGTATGATTTTCCAACCTATGAAAAAATAATTATTTTCACCACTGCTGCCAAATGCAGCCTGATAAAAATGAATGGAAAATAATCATTTGCAAAAGAGGCATGATAATTATGGCTATAAAAATATACAAAAAGTGCAAATTAGTTAAGTTTGAAGTGATTATTGGCAAAATTATACTGCAAAACTAAGCAAGGCAAGTTTAGAAAAAACTAGTTTGTGCTTAATTACTCTCCAAATACTGGCCAATTGCAGTTACTGGTTGTTCCAACACAAATATGGGGTTTTACTCTGGATTTACAGCATATTCACCTCAGTATTTGGTTTTCAAAGAATTTAAGAATAATGTTTAACGGTCATTCACATTTCTGTCTAAAATATGTAATTTTGGACTCATGAAACTTAGGCTAAGGCTCGATTAGAGTAGTAAGGAATCTTTTACCTAGGTATTTATTGAAAAAGTACATTGTCTAATTTAAATGGCAAGCACGGCATGCAGGAACTGACATGTAAGCTTTTCAGTCAGCTGAAGAGTAATATATATTTATTTAAAACACTAGCAATCCCTTTAAACAATTAATTAGCATATGGAAACAGTTGCCCTCTCCTATAAAACCTCTCTTTTAACACATTTAGGGTTTTTTACTGCAATTCAAATCCAAAGACCAACAGTGAAAAGACACGTCAAGGTGACAATGTTGAAATTCCACTCACTTGGATTCCTTCCTCTTTGACCCAATATCTACTTTTAAAATTGAACTTTTGGTATAAGCCTCTAGCAGACACAGCATTTCATGGAAGTATGTTACAATAAAACCCAAAGTGACTATTAACCTCTTTTATCAGGGTCACTGTAACACAAAGGTGTGTATATCCACACATTTATTAAAAAAGCACAGAATTATGGTAAATATGTCAGTAAAAGCTTGAAGTGTCTTTTCCTCCAAGTCTCCTTTGCAGATTACACAGTTTGCAATTTTACAGAGATTTTTTTTCTCCACTCTCTTCCCCCATTACACAAAAGGAATACTTTGTATATCCCTTCTTTTTGGGATGTTAAATCTAAGTATGTTCTCCAGAGTAAGAGAACATATTTAGTAGTTTCTGTAGCTATCAGTGGTGCAGATCATATTCAGTCATTGCCACGCAGCTTTCTGAAAGGATGCAAATCCTGATTTGTAGCTCTTTCTCCTCTCCTTCCCTAAAAACTTGGGCATAAGAGATTCCTAAAGTGCAGTGAAACAGAAGAAAAAAAGTTTTTTATATATATATATATACACACAAACAGAGACACCTTCTCCCACACTGCTCTCCTTTCTGAAGTTGCCACCACACTGCTTCATTTACCTTGAAGTTTACTGGGTAAACTTATAAAAGCTGTGTGTGTGAATGGAAGAGATAGGAATCATAACAAAGCACATTTTGAATCCGGTGACACCCTCACTCTAATAAAAGCAGTGTGCAAAAACCATGATTTTATAATGGCAGGTGCTACAGGAATGTGCACATGGACATATGAGAAAGCCTAAGTTCTCAAAAAGAAACATATTCTAATTTACTTAAGAATTAAAAAAGAGAACCACAAATACTTTATATATACTATTTACTTTTTCTTTTTTTTTTCATTAATAGTAGAACCATCTCTCTGAAACAGGAAAAGCAAGTAATTCTGCCAGAAGAAATAATTTCCTCTGTTCTATAATTACAGAAATAAAATATTGACAATATACATTCACATATTCCTCTGAAATGACAGGATAAAAATATCTACACTGAACACCTGAAGTTACATACTTGCACACCACAAAGATAGCTTAAGACTATCAGATGAAGCAGATGTTTTTAAACCTATGTACCTTTCAGCCATGATAAAAACAAATCTGAACCAGGCCTGATTACTTCTTGTAATTTTCAATAAGCCAAACACAAAACTTTGTACTTGAAGACTCCTGAGAGCTCTTTCTGCAGGACAGTGTCTCAAGTGCTGATATGTTTATATCCAACAGCTTGGTTTGAAATAATATTTACTAATGAATGTTTTTACAATTGGCTCTATGAGCAATTCCCATTCCTTCCATAAACACCAAGCTAAGAGAGCAACAAAGATCATGACAAAAATGTTTGTCCTTGTGGAAACTTCCCAAACCAATTTTTTGGGCAATAATACGGGGCCAAGATCAGGTCCAAACACAGGGTGAGGGAGAAAGAAGCCACTTTTGTGACGTTTTCTGCAACTCTTAAATTCTCCATCACCAAATTTTGTTTGATTATAATTGCACATTTTTGCTATGAAAGGGAGCAGCTGTTTCCTCCCTCACAATCAAGTGTGAGCTTAAAAGTGTCTTTTTTCCCCTAAAAAGCCATGAGACCAGAGGTGGCACCATGGAGAACCCAAAATCCTGGATATGCCATGAGGGTTGTTGCTCCCTCTGAGGAAATTCAAACTCCACAAAGGCTGAAGAATCTAATTTTCACCTCCTTCAACATGAAATCATGAGAAACCCCATCATTAGAAGACTCTTCAGGGTCCTTAAAGCACCACATAGGAACAGGGAACATGGACAAGTGGAGAAAGCAATTCTCACAAGATCTCATGTACTTGCCATAATCTTGTTAGAGACAAGCATTAGTATTTATTTTTAATTATTTGTATATATATTTAATAATTAATGCAAAAATATATATTCCTTTATAAACATATAAACAATATAAAATAATAATATTATTAAATACTTGTATTTAAGAGTTTAGGTGAGCAACAGAAATGTCTCACTGAGATCTCTTGCCTTTTTGCACCATCTCAAACCCTTTAAGGTACTATGAAGAACAGAAAGGTGCTGTTGTCATTCAGTATATCTACTTTTAAAGGCACTGAGTAGGGGTCTCTTGTTTTCTGCATATGTGTTTTAGATCTCCTGAGACAATTTATGCCTCTTATCATATAAAAACCCCCACCTTTGTTCACTGCTCGAAGAGACAGATAAGAGACAGGTTCACCTAAAAGATATGCCAAGGAATGCTCAGGTGAGCAACTTCCAGCAATTTCCTGCTGGTGACAAGGTCTGGAGCACAAGAAAGGAAAAAAAGGAACCCTTTTGGTTTGCACTGAGACATAAGAAACTTCAAGAGATATTTCTCTTTTCTATAAATACACAGGAAATACAACAATGTGATCCCTGCCCATGGAAGGGGGGGGACCAGGGGATCCTTCAAGGCCCATTCCAAACCAAGCCACCCTGTGATTATCAGAAAAATGTTGAAAATTCCCATATTAAAACAAAGTTACATACAAACTTCAATTTTATGCAGGGAAAACTTATCTTGACTCAGTTATTCCTTTGATTTCCCTTTTTAATTTTAAAATCATGTATCTAAACCGCTCACGTAAACATCACACCTACATAAACACAAATCTTGGCTGAGAAAAAGTATCAGTGCGCAGCTCTTAACTATGACACAAATGCAAATCTCTCATTTGTATTTATCTGTATGCAAAATGGGGAAAAAAGGTAGAAAAAATATAAATAACAAAGTCCCTCTAGGCCAACTCTGTATATAATGAGTACACACACATATACACACATTTATAATGAGTACACATATATATACACATGCATACTTTTTTTGTGTATGGCTTTTATATATATAAATATATATATTCATAACATATAAGTATAGTCATATGTTTAATTATAGACTTACATAGAGCTGTATATTTTATATATTTATATTCACATATTGACTACACATACAATAACCACAAATAAGATTGTTTATATAATCACATAAATTTATAAACATACAAAATACATTAATACGTATTTTTATGCATAATTATATAATTTGTATTTTTTATATTTTTATTATTTTATGTATAATTCCGTTATGTAATTAAAATATGATCTTATATATAATTATAATTTAATTGGAAGATTTATATATTAATTTTTATATAACTGTAATTAATATATATTTATACATATAAAACCAAAAGTTATATAGACCATACACAGTTGTCATCAGTAGATGAACCTTGACCTCTGACAGTACCCCACAAAGCAGCAAATGCCAGAGTTCAGCTCACTGCCCCAGATGCGTGACGTCACAGCTCACACCATGACGTTACGCAACTACTACTACGTCATACACCACCACCATGACGTCACGAGTTCGTGAAAAACACTAACACCCCCCTGTCCTACCCCGTACGGGCCATCATAGATACAAAACGTGTCTTTTTTCACCCAAAACAATTACGAACGCCCGCTCCGCCTTACAGCCGGTAAAGCCTCAGGGCAGCTCCGCGCCCGCGGCCTACGGCGTGAGCGGCCCCTCTGTGGCGCCGTCGGGCCGAGGGGGTGCGGGGGGGATGCGGCATTGTCGGCGTGGAGGGAGGGGTGCGGGAAAGGCCCAGGACCAGCCGGGACTGTAGCAGGACCCACGCTTACCATCGCGCCGCTCCGCGCCACATCACCTTCCGGCCCCCCGGCAGGGCGGAACCGCGCACGGCGCGTCCTCACCGCATGGGGGCGGGGCCGCCGCCGCCATTGGCCGGTGGAGCAAGAGGGCGCTGTGATTGGTCGGAGAGGCCGGTCGGGGGCGGGACGAAGGGGGCGGACGCGGCGCTGATTTGCTGGCGGAGCGCAGGCGGAAGCGGCGGAGCGGGAGGTAGGTTGGGTGTCCCGCCCTGCCTTCTGAGGCGACCGGGTTGGGTGGCCGTGGGATCGGGGATCCGAGTGGTGATCCACGGGATGATCCACGGTATTAGCTACGAGATTCAGCGCTGTCCCATGCCGGGATAACGGGATAACTACCATCAGTAATCCCGCACCCGGCCCTGTGCCCCCGGGCACGCCGAAGCCACGTGTTTTGTCCAACTCCAAAAATGTGGGGATTTTCGTGGTTTTTTGTTTGCTTGCTTTTTTGGCGCTTGTATTCGGAGGTGTCGCCTCGCCCTCCGCTCTGTGGGCGTGAGCCCCGTGCTGTGAAAGCCTGAATAACAGAAATACTGCCTTAATGAAGCTTTTTTTTTTTTCTTAGCGCCCTCTTATTGTTTCTTCTTCCGTTGTTCCATAGGCACAATCCGGGCTAATTTCGGAGGCTCCCACAGCCTGCTCCGGTCTCATGTATTTTGGCTCCTGTACTCTCTTTACCCCTTGTAGAAGTTTTCATCCTCTTTTCTATAATTGCATTTCTCCAAGAATTTTTGAACTTGATGTCTTAAAGTTGCTTTGTTTCCTCGCCATGAACACGGTGTATTCTTTTGGTGACTGAAGACACACAGTAATTAAAAGAGCTTCCGTCTCCAGTCCTACAGACTTCAAAAAGCATTACTTGGTTCTGGCGTCTCTGTTCTCTCTCTTTCAGCACCAAACTGTTCTTGTTTGTCTGCTCAATGTGGAATTGGTTTTGCTTTTTCCCTTGGTCAGGGGAAACAAATTTTTCACCCTAAAAATAACATTCTGGGATAACATTTTGGGATAACATTTGATATACTTCCTGAAGCTGATGAGAGTTTGTGTATAAAATATGTTTTTATAGTGGAATCAAGGCAATGTTCCACTAAAGCAGAGAATTTTAAGGCAAGTGAGGCATACACAACCCACTTAAAATGCTGTTGATATTTTCTACAGGGCAGCTTCACTTGCGGTAGTAGCTTTGGTCACTACAAGTTGCATGTCTTTGGTCTCAGATTCGTAGTCCCCAAAAATATGACTGGGATGTTTTCAGCAAAAAGCAAATGTAGAAACTGAAACTGAAAACAATGTTTCAGCAAAAGCAGATGTAGAATTTCATATGTGGTTTTCTCGCATAAATTGCTTTTCTAATCTATGGGTTTCAGGCACTATATTGATTTTGGATTAGTTCTTTTTTCTAGATTCAGTCTAGTAGCTATGAAGGCATGTTAATTTGCACATTCATCTACTGATTTAACAGGTAAACAGCAACATGTATGATCATTTTCTCATGTGTTCATACTTCTTACTCCTTTTCTGATACTTCTTACTCTGTTAGTGAATTACATTCACTGGATCTATTTATTTTCTTCACATGTCAAGGCTTTGGATTAAAAAAAACACCCTAAACGCAGTAAGTTCTAAACCCAGCTTTATTATTTAGGATAACCTCATATTAAAGTGTTTGAATGATGTCACATTAAGGGACATTTCTAAAGAGAAGGAAGCTGTAACTATAACCACTGGACAACCTCTGGTGGTCACCATGACCCAAGATTTTAGAGGCAATAATACTTTTGAACTTTTCTTCTATGTGTCTCTGAAACTGAAGGAGAAAAATGGGTTGTTTTGCCTTTTTGGATTCACTTTTGAATCCTCAAATGTGAATTAGCTACTCAAATTGAAAACTTTTCTTGTAACATCCAAGGAGAGTGCAGCTGTCAGTGCATGGTCACACCACAACCTGCTTTCAGGGGGTCAGTTAGGTTCCTCTAGTGTAGTTTTGTTTACAAACATGCCCCATATGATAAATTTTTTTATACTTTTTTCCTACTTTGATAGTTTCTGGTGAGCTCCCATGTGAAATCCTTTGCAGATTTTTGCTAAAATACTCTTTATTGACCCTGGCAGTTTAATTTTCAAGTGAAGTTTCCAACAGTCACAGGCATTCAAAGAAGAATTTTCATTGATCATATGCTGTATTAAAATGATTTCAGCTGCATATTTTGCAGTTTTGGGGAAAAATGTTCATTTGATCATTAATAATCTTGTAGGAGCCTTGGTGGCATAATTTAAAAGATACCTACCTATCTTTTGTCTGAAGGTAGTCTTTCTGACTGAAATAAGAACTCTCAGATAGTGTTACTACTCCAACTTATCTTTGGTTTTTGGGGTTTTTTTTCACCAAATTAATTTCTTGTCATGGAAAGCCAGTTCTAAGTGGCTGGGGTGGCTTGGTTGGTATTGTCTTCAGGAATTGCCTGGGTAGGCACTATTGTCTGATCCCCATCTCAGATCAGGAGTTTAAACAATTATACTGATCTGTGTAGCAATATTTGGATATTTAAATAAAACCATGTGGTTTTATTTAATACTGGTTCTCTGTTGCTGTTGGGTTTTTGAAGAGGAGGGTTAATGAACTTGGCTGTGCTTTCTGGTGTTAGGAAATGTTCTAGTAGTATGATTTTCCAGTGTTCAGTTGAGTAATAGAGCATACCAAGGAATTTGTGTGTATAATGAAAAGTAAAACATACTAAACTTCCAGGCTGTTTTCAAATGCAGGAAGTATTATCACAAAACAATGGCAATTGCATGTGGGAAGGATTGGTGTTTAGCTTCTCCTATGATTCTTATGCTTCATGAGAAGCAGGAGGATTAGAGGAAGTAGTTTAAAAACACCACTGGTGGGTGAGTGACACCACAGGTACATCTTTGTAGACAAGTTTTTGTGCTTAGCACATGTGCATGTGTGTATATGAAGTAGAAAAAGTATTTGCAAATAAACTATAAATTGGTTTTTATTTGAGATACGCTGTTTTGAGGAATGGGCAAAAAGCTCTTCTTTGGCTTTTCTTTGGCTCTTCTTTTGTTGCATTCACATCTGGTTTTCCTAGTGTCTTTAAACACAGGCATGAATGCTTAAAAACATATTTGCATAGTTGGTACAGTTACAAATTTGTTTTGCTCTCCCCCTGGAATCAGAAGGCAGCTGAACATGAGGGATATGAATTATGCAGGGAAACATGGGAGTGAGTAGGTAGCATTCTGTGCGAGAAGGTAGCATTCTGACACTGGCAATTAGAATGTGGTATTTTGTTTGCTAACATTGTTTTTGCAAAACAAAAAAACCTACCTACACTTAGGTATGGTTCCCCTTTCTCTCCATTTTCTACCTCCCCTGTTACCAAAAGTGCATGTGATATTCACTGTAGCAAGGTGGACCACAGTAGCTATGAAGTGCTGGGAGTTTGCAGCAAGGATGAACCTCAATTGTCATATATAGGGTGCTTGGAAGGAGTGCTTTAACCTGCTATTTTTACCTTACGTTTTATAGAAACCTACTGGGTTGGGTGATGTGTGACAAGAAGTGTTCTTGTAGCAGTGGCAATTTCTGTACCTTAAAATGTCTGCTTTTTGTGACAGGTTTCACGTGTGTATGGCATATATACAACTGATGGCTGATACAAAGGTTACTGCACAACTTAGCAAGGCACTCCAGCTCCTAAGCAACAAAAAACCTGAGGTGTTATGGCCTTGCTGCAGAAATAATTTTGCTGTACGTGACGCAGGTGACCTTATCCGCTCTTGTGGCACAGTCAATCCCTTGCTGGTGTGCAGGAATGCTGGATGTCTTGCAGTGATCTGTTTTGGCCAATAAACTTCTATTTCAGTGTGGATGAGATAATTCAGGTTGGTTTAGTGTCCTGCATGTTGACTTCATTAAAGCAGTACCTAAAATGTGATACTTAAATATTTAATGTGCTCATGGATGTGCCATGAGCCCTGCAGGGTCACTTGCTGTTTTGTCTCAATGCCTGTTTCTGATGTCCTCGTTATCTTTCAGTACCACTTAAGGATGAGAAATTTTAATCCCTCACTCTTGTCACCTAGGGATTAGCAGTAGGTGGAGGTTGTTTTTTAATAAGAGGTTATTTTAGAACTCAGGAGCCCCAGATGAAAAAGCAACACTGGTCCTTGAAGAGTGGGTGTAATCACCCAGAGTCTGGGGTGAGATTTTCAGGGACTCCAGTTAACAGGAGGCATCTGTGATTTCTTCACTAATGCACCTGGCAAAAATGTGGGGTGCTTGCGGATACTTTGTGGAACGTGTAAAATCATGTGCATGAGTTTTGATCTGAGTTAACCTCATTTGATAACCAAGAATCCAGTTTAGACAGCTGTTGTAAAATGCTGTTAAATGGGTCTTGAAATGGTATTTTTTCCCCACCAAAAATGGAGTTTGCTCTAGTTCCATCCCTGACTTGAACTGTGTCCTTTTCCGTGATTAAGAAACAGTGGCTTTCAACTCCTGCTAATTATAATCAGGATGTCTTTCTGAATTTTAGTCTTCCCCCCCTCCTTTTTCTCTGTAGATGAGGTGGGAAAGAAGGGAAGGTAGTAAAAACCTCCTGTGAATTTGAAGATTATGAATGGAATGTTGTATCAGATAATGTAATGGTAAAGGACTAGTGTCCAAGATATGTCAAGACACAAAGGAGTTACTGAATTATGTATGGTACCATGTTGACACAAGCTCAGGCAAAATGTAGTAAATAATTACAAAACAAATTACTGGTTTTGCTGATCTAAGAGAGTCAAATCTGATCAACACGAAGAACACGTCTTGCAGGAAAAGTTCTAAGTTGGAAAAAAAAGATTCATTATATGTGTGTGCCTGGGCAAGTGTCCCTGGTGTTACTGTCTCTTAAGGCAGAATAGTGATTTCACAAAATATTTCTTGATTAAATTACCCAAATTTGCAAAGCATGGAAAAGTACTGGATATTTCTGCATCTGCTCTGCAGACTTTTAGGTGAGCTTTCTGTGAAGGGGTGTCCTCCAACTGAGCAGAGAGATAGAGCAGAGACTGTGAAATAAATAGTAACAAAAGGAGATGGATCTTGTGTAATTTTAAGAGTACAGAGACTGAGAACTCTTGTGCCTTTCTTTTAGACATCAGCCAAATTGCTGGCTGTCTTGGTGCAGAAATAATTAGAGGAAAAGTGAGCCTATATATCCTATCACAGACTGCGTTTTTTTGCTTGTTTGTTTGTTTGGTTGGTTTTTTTTGTTTTGTTTTTTCGTT